TTAACTTGGTTTTCTTCTGTGAAAGAAAATCTTTGATCTAGTGGAATCTAAAATGGTATCACATACTGGACTTAACCTGGTGCTCAGATATAGGGCTGTCCATCTATCCTTCCAAGTTTATCCTGTTCTAAAGTTCTTTGCACATTCCCTGTGATATAGAATATTTCAAAATATGGGGGTTTTTCAGAGAGTGAAGTTGTTTAACCCCCCCCATACTAGGACAAGTTTAAACATGCCATAAATTGCTGGTATGATTAGTATGTTTCATAGAGTCTCAGCATAGAGATATCAGCTCTGCCTTCAGATTGCACCATTCATGAGCAATATGCTGTGATTCAGTTATTCAGAAATGTAAATCTGAATATCTCCTTCCACCATATAGTCCAGACCTTGCCCATATAACTGTCACCATTTTTGACCCTAAAAGAAAGCGTTAGGTGGATACTGATTTTCAGGACATGAAAAGGGTGATGTATACTTGGTTTCAGGAGCAAGTCAAAATGTTTCTGTCAGATGGCATAAGAAGCTGTTGGACTGATGTAACAAGGGTTTGGAGAAGCAGGCAGATCACATTGAAACTTGATGGTATCTCTTTGTCTGCTTGCCTTTTGTAGATTGAAAAAAATAATGAAAATAAATTGCCCTAATATTTTAACTCTTCAAGCAATTGTTACAAGATCTAACCTGTCTTGCTATAACAACTAAAATATGCTTGCATTCACATGCACAGAACAATTATACACAGAGCAGACTTCTCCAGTTGAAGTTTATAAACACTCTTTCTTATGTATTGTTGGACTTGCAGATTTGCAGGTATCCTACCTGATATTTTTACATAAAGTAAAGTGTTTATCAACACTCGTAACATCTTTAGACATAAAATGATTCAGCTACTGTGAAAGCTCAAAAAAATGACTGGTCTTGACAACCAAGCTTCAATACCTAGCAGGAACTGTAATTCTTGTAATCATCAGCATATCAAAACTGGCTCATCTTCCTGTTCAGAGGGAACTGGGTGCTCAGAGTGAAACTGATCACACACCTCCTTCAGATGCTGAGCTCAAGAACATGTGGAGCTTTAACTGTACTCCCCTGTACATTTGTATGAAGTGGTGGTGAAGCTCACAGTTAGCATTTTCTCCTCTCCACCCAACCCCCCCAGCAAAATGTGCTTATTCATATATTTCCTCGAGGATCTAAATTGCATTTTGTGCTAGATGGTAGTGGCAGAAGCTTTGATATCAGTGCTTTCCTTCAGAAATTTCAAGTTCATGACTTGGTAATTGAAATAGTTTGCCTTGAAAGAATAAAAGAAGTACTCAAATTCAGTCTCCTCTTAATTTCCTTCTGAATCAAATTTTGATTTGATACTGTCATTCCCAAGTATTTGGTACCACAGTTTTGAAGGATCTGTTAGCTGTGTCTATGTTATGATTCTGCCGTACATTCTAGTGACAAGACAGCAACATCTCTGTGTTCTCTTCATAGTGTCTGTTGTCTCCCAGTAGATTTACATCATCAGCATTGACCGCCAGCTGATGTGTACCATTCAATTTCAGTCCTACCTGGTTTTCCTGGCGCTTCCTAACAGCATATTCTAAAGCAATGGAAATAAAGCATCTGCTTGTTTTAGACCATTTGTTTAGGAAACCTCTTGGAAAAATATTTACTTAATACAGACTTTACTGTAGGTTTCATTTAAACACATTTTAATCAGCCTAACTAGTTTCATGGTTACCAAGTATGCTAAAAATAAAGCAGTATTTGGGTTCTTATGTAAAGTTTTCTTTAAAATTGCCCAGTACCAGATTTAATTGTAATCAGCGTACCCATTCTCAAACTGTGTACAGATGAAACTCTTTCGGGAGATGCTCCACAGGAATTCAGATGCACCTACGATGACAAAATTTGCTACATTGAGTATTTTAATAAATGTACAGTTTTTTGACAGATATATACACATCCAGCAGTAAACTATGTAGAACCTGCACCAGTGTGGGTAAAAACACTTTGTATTGAACTCAGTATTCTCTTGATTGAAATGGTGAAGGAATGGTGAACATAAGAGTAATTGGTTATTTGTTTTTGCCATTTAATGGAAACTCTTTTTAGCAGGCCTTATGTCCCATATACTTCATTTGTGGCCTTTGATCTGAAAACTGTGCACAGCCCTATCCTGCATTATGAAAACCTGTCTGTTTATGTAATTTATTGTGAAAGCCTTGTCTTATATAGCTCTTATACTTCCTGAACACTTTTTAGTCATGTTGTACACTATGGAAACCCCACAGTAATAAATTAAAGGGACATAGAACAAATATCCTTCTATAAATATTATGTTAGACATTGTGCATTGTCTGAGTTGTATTTGATATATACCACGTTTCAGGAGTTGACTACGCACCTATCTTCAAGTGATTGGTTGTCTTTATATTAACAGATCTGTAATTACTTTCTATTTTAATATCAGAGCTGTTATTACTTTTTTATTTTGATATTAGTGGCATTAGTTGCAGATCAAATCTGGGAGAATCTGCAGATATAATTCCTGAACTGTAAGGCTGCACTGGATAGGTACCCAGTTTCAGTACAAGCAGTAGCAATATTTTTAATGTATCTAATGATTACTCTGTAAATGGCTTCTGCTGTGTAAATACTGGCTACATGTGCCAGACATACTGCTCTTGCCAATGCTGCAGATACAAGTATTTAAAACATAGATTTGTGGAAAACTACAATATAATAATCTCAACACACTTTTAATTAAATTAAATATAAACAACTAGATGTTGAAGCTTAATGGGTGCACATTATATGAAATTCATGAACCCATGTTGCAAAATCTGTACTTTTCTTAATTTTAGACTTTTAAATGTGGAACAAAAACAAGAATATGTTTTACTTTTCTACAGATAATACAGATGGAGTAACCCAGCTGTATGAGAACTCTTATATTTTGTATTAAAAGATGCAGCTATGTTACTGTTGTCCACTTGCAACAGTAACTGAATACTTGCAGAAAAAAGTACTGGGGTAAAGATCATAATGATTAAAATTATAATGTAACTTTATATGTACAATGTTGTTTTCAAAGCCTGGCAATATTATGTATTGTATACCATTGTGAAATTACAAGTTGCATGTATGTTTGTGTGTATGTGTGAATGTAAATATATTCTATTTATAAAGTACTGCAAGAACATGATAGAGAGAGCATGACTGCAAGATATATGAGGGTCACTGTATGAAAATATCGTGTTGAAACAAAAATTGCGATAAATTTATTTACAGAGTTTGAATAAATTTCTATAGCAGAGTTAAAAAAATATTTTGCATTCCCCCCACCCCCAATAAGATCATTCCATTTCCAATATATGGCAGAATAAGCCTTCTCTCTCCTGTATTAGTAGGAATGTATCTCATTTAGTTTAAATTAATCTGTAAAAGGTAAAGTTGTCCCTATGCTTAACTAATTAAGCACTATGCCATGAAGGCATGTGGGGGAGTGGATGTATAGATCCACATTTTCTTGACCTTGGCACTAACTGGAGGTGAATGATCAGCTTCATGCCCCTGCTGCTTTACCCCTGGGGGAAGAGGCCCTGGCACCCATTGGATAGGAGGCTGGGTGGGCCCCAGAGCCAGTCTGAATGACACGGAGAATTGAAAATTCTTGCCCCCATTGGGACTCAAACTCCAACCCCTTGGTCGTCCAGCCCATAGCCAGTTGCCATACTGACTACACTATCCCGGTTCTCTGTTACACAGTAGCGCTTTCAGTTAAGAGGGGTGGGTGGGAGCGTGGAGACACTTCGGTTATGGCATACATGAGCTATCTCCAGATTATAGCTGAGCAGTCTGCCCCCTGATTTAGTTAGCTACCTCAATCCACAGCTGCTCTCTCTTACCCTGCTATCTGGTTGGCCTCTCAAAAGTATTGTGTACCCTGTCTCCCAGGCAAGGTATTGTGGGTTCTGCAGTCAGCTTGGTCGAGCAGTGGTTGAAGCTGGGCCATAGACTCAAATGTATGTAGTGTGAAACCTCCAGAGAAGTAGTGTAACAACTTGTTTATTACAAAAGATTGAATACAGACTGGACAACCCTTGATTTCAATTATGATCACTGTCTTAGTTGGGACAGCACCAACTTTCACTCTCAGAATAATGTTCTATATGTGCATGGACTGGGGTGTACTCAAGATGAAAACTGATTCTGGGAACGGCCAGCACAGATATATATACTTCACAGTGATACGCCTGACCTTCTCGAAGTTTCCATAGCATTTTATAAATGTTATTTAATATTTCCATACAAGTCTGGTGGTCCTCCACTGGTGTTTTGGAATGTGATAACCTGTCCATGGTTCACACTCTATGTGACATGACATCTCTCAGCACCAGTACGGCTTCATGCCGACGGCATGACTGAGGGGGTGGTCTGAGAGTCTGTGAGGATGGTATGACTGCAGCATGCATATTACTTTAAATTTGCTTAAGCCTTACAGCAGGACGTAAACCATAATCGATCAAAGCAATAGGGCACAGCGAGGACCCCCTCAAGTTTTGTTTTGCCTTTTTTTTTCTGGGTAGTCCATAGGTTCTTATTCCCTGAAGGTGATAACTGATTATTTTTCTGGGAATTCTCCTTCAGTCATTCATTGTATGTGCATTTATTAACAGTGTAATTTAAACTTTCTACATGAGTTTATTCTTAGTATCATCATGTTTAATCTTGTCTTGTTATTCCAGTCACTAATCTTAAGAATCACATAAATTTAAAAACTACAAAGTTTGGCTGATCTTTTGAGACTTTCTGAAGTTCATATCAAGTTTTGTGAAAATTCATCAACTAGTTTAGAAGTTATTAAAGGACTGACTCACAGGAATGATGATACCTTAAGTTTATGTTTCCTTCAAGAGAACTCAGAATGGTGTGGAGGACAGGGGGATGAGTGTTCATATGGGTAATGGTTTAAACAATGACAACCAAAATTATGGAAGTTAAACAGTAAGAGAAAACTGAAGAATTTATTCATATAAAAAGGAATAAAACATTATCGGGCATCCAGCACTAACATGAAACCATAATGTTTCATGTACAATGTAAAGCCATGTACACATTTTTAAAGAGTCAACAAAGTAACTGGAAAATCTACTTTGCTGTAAGTCATTAACAAATCAATTTTGATGACCAACAAAAATACATCGCATTATATTTCCTTATCCTTTTACTGCCATATTTTGATCCTGGTGGTAGCATCAGCTATTAGCAAACTTTAAGTACCAAGAGATTCAAGAGTCATGTTAACAAGCTTGTTGATATATTCTGCCCTCTTCATGGCTCCATTAATGCACTCCTGTAACTGTGATTCTGTCAGTGGACTCCCTCCTGGTTTGTGGACAGAACATAGCTGACCTCCTTGAACAACAATAGTCATGACTCCACTTGATAAGCTCTCTTCTTCATTTGTTGGATCAGTTAAGAGAATTTCACTGAAAAAAAGTACAAATAATTAGGATTAGACATAACTAAAATTTCCTGTTACATATCTAAACGTCTAAGATAACATTTTCCCCATGCTTAGCACTAGATGGGTTAGAATGTTTGGTTTCGTGTCCCAGCCATTTAACCCATGAGGAAAGAGCTCCCAGTACCCAGCGGTTAGAAGGTTGGGAGGTCCCTAGAACTTGTCTGGATGCTGTGGAGAGGAGGAAAAATCTTGCCCCTACCAGGAATCAAACCCCAGTTTCTCAGTTGTCAAGCCTTTAGCCCTCATTTTATCACCTCACATATCAAGTTCGTATAAAAACATGTAGAACCTGATAATTCACTGGATTATAATGTTCAATATGTGATTTCAAGATTGTGACAGTTCTGAAGATATATGTGTAAATTACTCCATACAAATCATTTGACATACTGGATTTGAAATTCACACAGCTCCATTATTCCTCCATGTCCTTCTTGGTCTACCAAGTGACAGCCTTTCAAGAGCTGTTCCTCATTTAAATTCTCATGAATTTATTATTTACTTTTATCATATATCTAAAGCATTGTTTAATTATGTATTTTGCTTTTTAATTACCATGTGTGTACTATCGTCATGCCTACAATCAGTGACACTATATTTCACGATCCTGTTGCACTGGTTAACAATTTAATTTGCAGGAACAGTCTTAAAGGTGAAACTTCTTGTTGTGCTCACACACTGATGGTGTGCTGTGTTGTCATTTATATTATAACTGTTGCTTCTACATGTTTTGACCTTATAAGGTCATCATCAGGTATATACTTTTATGTGACTGCTGCACTGTATTGATTTTTCTAGAACATGGTTCTAGAATTGTTACGATTAATTAAAACTTATTATTTTTTTTCAATTGGCACACCACATTTCCACCATTCAGTGATTTCCTGGACTGTGTGCAGAGTCTTGTGTTGTGTTGTTGTGTGATGTCTATATTCACTACAGTGAAGTTTGTGTAATTTTCATGGATGGTTGTGGTGGTAACCATCCACCACCTATGGAAATCACACAATACCACACTGTACTGAATATACCATAACAAGACTCCACACACAGCCCAAGAATGCCAGAAACACAGAGCACGAGTTGAAAATTGAGCAAGTTGTAACCAGTTTTAACAAATTTCAACAATAACTGGAACTAGTTCTAATCAAGTTTTAAAATGAACTATAAAACTTGCTGCCATGCAGCAGTTCCACAGAAGTATCTACCTGATGATGACCCTTATAAAGTGAAAACAGGTGGTTGAAGTAACATTTATAAAAAAAAAAAATGTTGACATAGCACACCACCACTTTATGCGCATGACAAGGAGTTGCACCTTCAAGACTGCCCCTGCAAATTAAATCTACAATCAGTAAATAATAAATAAAATGAGTGATACAGGTCAAGCCTGAGTAGCAAGACTGTGTGTTAGTCATGGCCATGAAAGCCTATGCTCAAGAATATGTATAAAATTCTTAAAAAAAAACAACAGTCTGAATGAGAAACATGACATAGAATATAATATTATATTTAAGCATCCTGTTGCACTATACATTTCTATATGTAATAATACAAATGCCATCATGAATGCAACAATTTATTTGGTTGTAGATCTTTGATTTTGGACTGTGTGCAGTGTGACAGCTACGTAGTGAAAAATACACCTGATGATGGCCAATTATGGCTGAAACATGTAGTGTAGAGGAAGTAAAGACAAAGATCTACAACCAAATAAATTGTTACATTCACGACGGCATTTATATTATTACACATAGAATATAATATTTAACTCATTTTGTATGAAATATTTCTCTTCATGCATATTTAATAAAATAAATATGAAAAGTCACGTAGGTCACAACGGCAACACAGAGGTAAGGCTCCTGACTTCCTACAGTTTCTTGTTTTTATGCACATGCATACAGAATGCCAAAAATGATATAATGAGACTACTTACTCATCAAAAATTGCAAATGTTGTGGCTACGGGTGTGTTATGCACTTGAAGTTTATTTCTCTTCTCAGGGGAAACAACTGTGGTTTCTGCTTCGACATCATATGAAACATGTGGTAGTTTAACTGACAAATAAAGCAACTATTGTATATCTGTGGTAGTTCTATAGCTCTACAGAGGACAGTTTATCACTATTTATCACACAACAGAAACTCATTTTGGTATGCAATACCAAGATGAAAATGTGTGAGAAATGTAAAAGCGATGCTCATGAAGAGATGAACTTATGAATCTATGTAATAAAATGTGGTTTTTTAAGTAACTGGTTTTTGGTGGTTTGACAACATGAGTTGCAAAAGAATGCACCCATTATCTTTGCCACCTCTTTCTGGCCATATGTTTATACATAAGAACTCAAGAATGGCTATGTGATGTGATGTGATACCAGGGAGTACTAAAATTTGCCAACACATTTTAATTTTGGTTAAAATTGAACAATAATTGACACTTTACATGAAGATCTGTATGTGTTTTTGTGTGCATCTTGAGTATGACTCACATGTGAAAAAACTTTTACAAGACAGGAGTGGCAGAGAAAATTCAAGTCACATCTTAGGCCCACTATACTTCTCTTAAGTCTTGTAATTTTCCAAATGATTAAACACAGCAGATATCTGTGGTATTTCATCTCACAACTTACACAGATGGCCTGATTTTCATCAAATTTGTAATAAAAGAGGTCCCTGCTTGTCTTTCTCCCTTGATTTACACTATTTATACCTGAGCCTCAAAAATCTTTATTCATGACTTGAAAACTTACAGCCAGTAACAGATGTGAACACACTCAAATAGTTATGCTACACACAAATTTATAATTTTAATATAGCTTCTGACAAAGTGAAAAATTCTGAAGAAGACCATTATATTTATTAATGAGAAATGCTGTTGCCACAAACATACATACTGCTCACACACAAGCTACATTTGAAACTTCATAAAAATATATTTCAGTAAGACAAATGCCTAATTTACAATGCAAGTGTATGTCTTAAAACTCCTCTTTATGTCCAAAATGTGAAGTAATTTCACAACCCACATACAGAGAGTCATTACCTCATAACATACTTTATCATCAACAGTATCACCTCTTGAAGTGGTTGGTGATATACACATGAACATTTTATGTATACCATATTCTGGAAACCAATTATGCAAACTATATTTATATTTAGGTTTCGGGTCTTCTGGATTATGATACTGTATACAATGGTAGGCAGCTCCCAACATTTCAAAAGAACCTGCTGTTTCTGTCTTCAAGGTAGATGTGACTTCTACCATCTACCTACTACCAAAGAAATTAACTTAGGTGTTAATGCTTCTCATTTGTATTTGGGAGATGGCTCTCATGTGAATCTCAGGCAGGACTAACTGAAGTTTTTCATGGTTCTCCTGAGTTGCTTTAGGTGAAGGCCAGGTTAGTACCTCAAATTAGGCTACAATAACTTTCTTTCACATCCTTTCCGATTCATCATTCATTAATCATCTTGACATTCAATGCTATACAGACTGAGTTACTGAAAGTGTCATTAAGTAAACCATATGAAAAATATATCTACCAACTACCAAACTGCAAAGTACTACAATCCAGAAAACCATGACCTAAATCTTCACCGCTGTGAAAACCTCACGCCTCACCCAGTGGCTGACACATACCAGTTCTGAGGGCCGCTACAAGCGCGATGACACATGCATCCCATAATGATCCATCATGGTCCAAACAAATTAAATCACAATGAAGAACCCATGCCAGATGTTCAGGTGCTATACACAGATCCTTCAGATCTACACATCCAGAGCTAGTCAGTGTTTCAGCAATAAAATTACTTGACACCTGAGCCAAATCACTTGGTGGACCAGGACAAAACCTGGGTGAACAAAGTGGTGGAAGTTCCACATTTGGTACAAGATATCCAAAGTTGGGCTCTTCAGCTTTTGGTGCTGCTAATTCCTAAATAAATGAGATAAAATCTTAATAATACATAAGAACAACCACAAAATTGCTGATAACATACTAAGATCATGAAAACACGATAATATTATCTTGGAATCTGTCACAGATTACATTAATTCTAACATTAGGCTGGAGTAAGCACTGTAAACTACACTCAGATTCAGTCAAGATAATGGAAACGAGTCCGTGAACCTGCCAAACTCAAGATGCCTTACAACAGAATCAACCACTTCAGTACCAGGGGAGGTGCATGAACTAGAAGAAAAAAAAATCTTGCCCCTGACAGAAATCAAACATCACACTCACACTTGGTAGTACTTGTATTATAATAATAAAAGTAAAAGTAAAGTTATCCCTGTAACAGGCCGTGGAGGCCCTTAGGCTTGTGAGTGTTTGAGGCTCCCACAGTTTCTAGACAATCAGCTCACAGATGGCGGTAAGGTTGTTAGCTTTACATGCCAGCCACCCTTTACCCCCCCAAGAAGATTCCTGGTACTCATTTCTGCTAAAGGCTGAATCGACCCCAGGGCCATAGTACAGCTGGAAGGGTTAGGTCAATTGAAAAAATCCACCTCATCGGGAATTGAACCCATGACCTTCCAGCTTGTAGCATAGTGCCTCAACCAACTACGCTACCACGTGCTCCTACTTGTATAATAATACATGTGTTTATTTAAGTTTCCCAAAAATTTTGTCAGAAGATTCACAGGCTATGTGTACAGGTTCATTTATGTTCTCAAGTAAGATGGCCTTATAATAGAGCAAAATCCAATCAAAACAGGCCGAACAAAATTTCTGTAGATCTAAAACACCAAGTTCCATCAGAATTTGTTACATAAATCAGTTCGGGTTTTCATGGGCATGACAAAACTAACTGGTGTTTATATGGCCATTTTTCTAAATTCACTTAAAAATCCTAGTCTCTTAGCCAACACACAGTTCTGTGATATTCATGATTATGTTACATAAAGAAACAAAGGAGTAATTCCAAAGTGTTTGGCATATATGCAATGGATCACTATTTTAATATCAATCATACACTTCATACTAAAGGACATTATTTGAGAGCCTGCAGCAAATTGTTTTGTGACTCAAGCAGAATTTCCACATGCTACTTGAATCAGACTATTCATGCCCTCAACAAACCAACAGCCTATACCAGTGTTTCTCAACCTTCGTGAGACACAGACCGGTAAATTCTTTTTTTTTATAAGACAAGGGCCTGGTACTGGGACAGAGCCCGGCAGTTGAAAAACACTGGTCTATACCAATTAAAATTTCTCTTAATATCACTGCAAAAATCACCAATCAGTTAATATGAAACAGGCTTACGTGTTATGTTCATGCCCACTAGTAAAATCCTGAGCCTTTTGTTGTTATTGCTACTCTATTCAACTGTGCAATAAGTATTTGTGACACAGTTGTGTTATTTCCCCGTGTTGAAATATCACTAGCGTAACAGGTGTCCACATACGACACCTGTCTGAAAAGTTACTGTGTATGAAGAGTAAGGAGAAGATTCTAGGATGTTGCAACTAATAACAGAAAGAACTATTCATACAAACATAAATAAATTTAGAGGCATGGTAGTTATTAGACAAAAATGAGCCAAGTCAGAAACCATCAGAGAGAAAGTGCTGGGCTTGAATATTCCCCTCAGAAGTTCTCTAGCTCAGTAAATCAGGGTTTAGAGTTGCATGTATTAAGTTTATTCCATTTCTGAAAAAGAACATCATGCATGTACGTCAAGATTTTATGGATGTGCAAGGAATGCATGCATTCAAACAGGTACCATTTCCAGCATCTGCTGTGATCTAGGTGGGGTCTGTTTGCATTTCTTGGCCTACCGGCTTGTTGAGTATTCTGTAGCTCCAATCCCATGTGGAAAGAGTTGGCCTCAGAAGTTTGCCTCTCTTCTGCTGGAGTGACAGGAAGATTTACCACCAGCTTTCAAATAACTTCCCTATATAAATTACCAGAGAAAACATTGTACTTACAGCTTTTATTCCACAAACAACGACAGTGTTTCCAATCTTAACAATGGCTGAGCCTTCAGCTGTTTTTATAGAGTCTACATTAATTGAAACAGGACGAAACTTCTGCATATCTCGACCATCTGGCCTCACACCCTTTGCCTGAAACACAGCGAAACATGTACAATGAATCCCCCCCCCCCTTTGGATTGTTTCTTGTGCAGTCAGTCAATGAATTCACCTGTATTACCTTCCCCTCACTGCCCCTTCCTGCTATCCTGGCTCACTGCTCACACTATGCCTCCTATAACTGGCACAACAATTCCCTTGGAGTGTAGTAATGCTAATCATAAATTTACTGCCAAGCAACCTCCATAGCAGATCATTGTATTATATGCAAGTGGTCAAAATTCTGCTGGGGCATGACTGTTCCCCACCTTCTATGGTAAAAAAGGTCTTACGGAGTCTAGTAAAAAGCAGATCGTCAAACAGACCATTACTTAGATTCTAAAGGATTCTGACAATGGTGTATAATACTCAGAATTTCTGGATTTTTGGGCTTCGTCCATCGTCCAGTGTTCTAAAAAACTAGAACACATGTTTCAGAAAATTGATCAGTTTTCGTCCTCAGGTGAGGAGGCAGACACCTTCCTTGATGGGTCCCTTAGAAAGAGCTAACCTCAGTCTCTCATCAGCTCTTTCTAGGGGGCTCAATGCAGTAGGTGTCTCCACCCTCACCTGAAGATGGAAACAGATCCAGCTTCCAAAACGATGTGTTCTCTAGTTTTCTAGAATACTGGAATATGGACAAAGTACAAAAATCCAGCACTTCTGACATTATTACTTATGTACAATTTGAAGCTTTCACTTTTAATAAATCTATTAAAATCTTCTTGGATGATGGATCAATTATGAATGCCAAATAAAAATGAAATGAATAAGTGCCGTGAACAGAAATTATAATGTATTACAAAGTCAACTGCATGCCCCTTTCTCGGTGAGAGATGGACTTATGTGACAATGTATACAATCATGAAACTTACTAGGAAATCTCGGTAGTATTTCACTGGATGAATGCTCCTGAAAGTGAAAGAGACAGACCAATCAACAGCAGAGCTCAGCATTATGCTTACGACATGTCACTTTATTTTTAAGAACTGATGAAGACCATTTTCAAATATCACTTCTATGTATTTTAAAAAAACTTTCACATGCCAAAAGAGATCATGTAGACAAGCAAATATCAAGAGGTCTATACATATTTCTTCCAATTTGTAAATTATGGTACAAATATGGTAAAGATGCACCCTTCTTTTACTTGCACAAAAATACAAACATGGCAATATTATTAAATGTCTAAGATTATATACTTATGCCCATGATTTATTGTGACCGTCTTACAGTGCATACATTTATTCACCTTACTCTTCTCTCTTGCACTACATGTTTCAGCACTAAAGTGCCATCTTCAGGTGCTTTTCGATGTACGTCGAACTACTTCATTACTACATGCCCTGTTGTCTTTATACTAAAATAACTAAAATATATATTCGTCATATATATTGATAAATTTTAAATATTAAAAATATTAAAACTGTTCAGGATTTGTCAACCTTATGTCATA